TTTAATTTTATTATTATTATTTAATATTATTAACATTGTTATTTAATTTTATTATTATTTTTTGTGTATCTTCTGCCCCCTGTTATCAGGTGTATCTGATTGTGTTCAATAGGATTTTGAGCAAAGTTTTTACCATTAAATTATGCAAAAGGTGTCAAACAAAACATTTCAGAAACCGTATGAATCAGATATGATACATTTGGCATTATAGGGTTAAAAACAAAAATATGTTGACTAAAAGTATGTAGGGGTTTTTTAAGATATTTTTACACTTAAAAATGCAGATTTCGACAAACTCTGACCCTTTTTTCTTATTTCATGTCAAAATAGAGACATTTTCTTGTCTTTTTTGGATGTAAAAACACTTGAATTATTAATGAAGTTATAAGATTTTGAGCAAAGTTTTTCACCAATAAATTATGCAAAACATTTCTAAAACCGTATGAATCAGATATGATACATTTGGCATTATAGGGTTAAATTCAGTCCATTTATTTAGTGCTGGAATAGGATGTAAACAGAGAAGTCCCAGAATTAGAGATTTGCTTTTGACAGTCTTATTTTCTTTGTGTTTAGGAGTTTGTGTGCCATGAATTGTGGAATTTGCAAAATCCTTACAAATCTCATGTGACAGAACTCTGACATATTATTTTTGTCGTAGATAAAGTGGTCGGACAATTGTGAGACCAAAGAAAGGATCCAGGAGCCCAAACGGCTCCTTTAAAGCTAATAAACTCATTAAAGTCTAACTCACAACTAAAAGCCTGCTTTAGTTTACATTCATGTAATATAAAATTAAGTCGTAATTACCGTTAAACTTTGCTTAATTATTATTATTATTATCAATATCCCAGCACCCTTACAGAAACCTCCCACTTAAAAACATAAAAGCTCCTAACGAGGTAAAGAAGTATTAGTAAATAAATAAAAATATATAGAGAAATTGTGTTTAATTACATTTTAATTATGTGTGGAAATATTTGATCATCTATTTCCAAGAGATGAGAATAAATCTTTTTTATTTTTTCCTGTTATATTTTCTTTTAAACGGCTTTCTTTATCATCCATTCTCTCACTTTTTGGATCACTAATTCTTCAGGATGAGTTTCTTATATCTGGAATCGTGATGAGCTGGAAACCAAACTTTACTGTCTTTACGAAATCAGAAGATAAATGATGTCCTAGACCCATTCAGGAAGATCTACGAGGATGCTGAAGACTTCCAGAGCTGATTTTTCAAGAGCCACAGAATAGTTTGTAATCTGTCTAGAAGCCCATATTTACGGAAAAACTTTAGCAGATCGTCCCCCAGACACTCTCGTTAAAAACCTAAAAGATCCTGCATTCATACAGAATATATCAAATATACTAACTCAAAACGACGTGGACGGGAATCGGAAAAACATCAAAAAGATTTAAAAACATCTCAATCATTATGTCCGCCTTTTTTCAAATTTCACATTCATTATTTTGCTCTGTTTTTTTTCTCATTTAGACTTAATTTACTCTTTTTAGGCATAATTTTTGCAAATCATCCCTCCAATTTTTATGCATGACATCATCAGACTTTTTTCTTCATCTGAAAAAATAGCAAGAAAAGAGTTAAAATGACATTTTGGATAATAGGAAAGGGAAAAAAAACTACTTTTATGTGTCTGAATTGATGTTAGAGCAGGAAATGCAGCAGACTGAGGTCAGGATAACTTTTCTAACTTTGGACTAAATTCTCGTACGATTGTCCCTCATTGGCTGAAAGACCAAAAAATAAAAAATAGAAAGAAAAGGCTAAATCTGTTAACATGCAATTTCAGAAATTATTCTGATATTATTGCAATCAATTGTGGTTCCTATAACCATTAATTTATAATCATCAATATAAGACATTAGCAGCTAGAATGTTAATTCACTCCTCCAGTTTAATGAAGATTATTTAAAAATCCTGATGATGAAAGTGTTCAGTTTAGTTATCTATCTATCTATCTATCTATCTATCTATCTATCTATCTATCTAT